AGTTTATTAATCTTTCTTCTAGTAAGTCCACACCATGTCATTTAGTTTATTAATCTTTCTTCAGTAGGCCACACCATGTCATTTAGTTTATTAATCTTCCTTAAGTAGGCCACACCATGTCATTTAGTTTATTAATCTTCCTTCAGTAGGCCGTACCATGTCATTTAGTTTATTAATCTTCCTTCAGTAGGCCGTACCATGTCATTTAGTTTATTAATCTTCCTTCAGTAGGCCGTACCATGTCATTTAGTTTATTAATCTTCCTTCAGTAGGCCGTACCATGTCATTTAGTTTATTAATCTTCCTTCAGTAGGCCGTACCATGTCATTTAGTTTATTAATCTTTCTTCAGTAGGCCGTACCATGTCATTTAGTTTATTAATCTTTCTTCAGTAGGCCGTACCATGTCATTTAGTTTATTAATCTTTCTTCAGTAGGCCGTACCATGTCATTTAGTTTATTAATCTTTCTTCAGTAGGCCGTACCATGTCATATATTTTATTAATCTTGTATATTAGATAATCAGTAATGCGTTTTTTAAAGTAAATACTACAAAACTGAGACATCTATTTTTTTGTTACCTGCACGCTGGTCCACCTTCTTCAAGCGCTACTACCACATATCCTACAACACTTCTCCCTTCTTCCTGTCGGTTAATGTAAATCCCAAGTTCTCCTTGCTCGTCTTTGTCTAAATTAACACTAAACACTTTTTCTTTTGTAGTGTTTTCTTGGCCTAAAGTTTCTGTGGTACAAACTAGTTCGGTATTAGCACAATTCTTGGATTCTAAAAGTTCTGTGTTACTGTACAACTTGCAATCGGATTCTGATAATTCTAAACTAAAATGGTCTATATTAGATCCATTGTCCCAGTCGAACACATCACCTTTGGACACTGCCAGATCCCCAGGATTTGGTTTAAGGCACAGCTGAGACTGTAGCAATTGTTGACCAGTATCATTTGATGTGGAAGTTATTTTATGACCAGCTTTCTTTAGCCTTAACTGATAGTTTAGGTCCCCACACAAATGTAACTTGCTTCTATCGCCATTGTCGTCAACCTCTTGTTCGGGTTTTAAAGAACTCGTTATGTCACTGGATTCTTGAACTGTGTCTAAATATAAAGAAGATTCGAACAAACTAGTCCGTTTGGAAGAAACACCGTCAACCTTATGATAGTCCTCCGAGTCGGAATGATGCGTTCTTCTCCACTTGTTTCTAACCAACCTACGATCCAAGGTCCACGCTTTAAACTGTCCAAGACGCGACATCTCTTTTTTTGGATCACATTTTGTCCAACTACCGCGTTCTTTAGTCTTTATCGCCAACTGAGACAAAATACCCGGTGCCCGTAATCTTAAGCTTGTAGCATCTCCACAAGCTTTGGAAGAATCTCGACTGTCACTTGAACTACGAACCCTGTTCTGGCACGCGCTGGACGCGGTTCTTGGAACGCTCGAGGAACCAGAGTTCTGAGTTTTGAATTTTTGGAATATAGCGCTAAATCTCTGTAGATTACCACCAGAGATCTTACTAGGTGAAGGGGTGTAGTTTTCTTTAGATTCAGTACGCTTTACACTGGTTCTTAGACTTAACGAAGTACTCATTGAACTTTTAGTTATTACCAGGGGCAGACCTGTTTCCATGGCAAAGGAATGTCGTTTTTCCTCAGGAGTTGATGATTCGTCATTACCATTCTTTGTACCGTCACTTTCGTAGCCAGACTCGTCAGATCGATGTTGTATTGAGCTTGCCAAGCTAGCAGTATCCTCAGTTATAAATAGCTGATTTATCGGTTGACTATTTTCAAGTTCTTGTGGCAGCTTGCCCAGATAAACCTCCTCTTCAAACACTGTTCCCAATTGTGATTTTGCTTTAATCAGCTGGTTAGCTGCGCCATCTAACGGGCAGAGATTGTCTACTAAGTCCTCGTAGCTGACAGTTTTTGTTGGTAAATACGAGCTTCCACCCCCCAGGTACTCGTCCTCTAATTGGGGGTCATTGACGAGTAAGGCTGATGTCGAGACGCTACGGTACATCGCACCTTTTTTGTCTCTGTCCTCTGTACTCACTAGAGCAGTATCAAGCCCCACCCTTCGTTCTGAACCACACACATTGCTTAAACTTGTAGTGAATACTTTCTGGCGATGGTCAAAGTTTGGCCGTGTCCACTGTGAAGAACTGGAATCCAGAGATGGGTGCGTGGTCTCCACTGACACAGCATACTTGAGTGGAGTGGACTGTTTCCTGCCGGCACGAGGAAATGGAAAACCTGTATTTACCAGAAAGAGAGAGAGATGGTAATGTGCTGTATCTTACTATAAAAATTACATAAATGTCCTGTATCCACAAATAAGAGTATTCAGAATCAAAATTGCGTGCCTTTAACAAAAACGCAAAGTAGAAGCTGTAAAATACTATTACTTTGTATAGCATACCTGCAGCTGAGATCATTTGAAGTTAGAACTTTTCAATAATAACACATAAAAGATGGCAGACCATTCGAAGTTAGAACTTTTCAATAATAACACATAAAAGATGGCAGACCATTCGAAGTTAGAACTTTTCCAATAATAACACATAAAAGATGGCAGACCATTCGAAGTTAGAACTTTTCAATAATAACACATAAAAGATGGCAGACCATTCGAAGTTAGAACTTTTCAATAATAACACATAAAAGATGGCAGACCATTCGAAGTTAG